GGATGCAGGTGTATCAGGGTCATAACTTAACATGCAAACAATTTCCATTGCTACCTGTACATTTAATTGCATTGTAGGTTTGTGCATCATGGAAATATTGTACAGCTACAGGTATGTGGGTTTATTTTGCATGTTGTGCTTTGTGGGCATATCAGGCAGGTATTTTCCATTGCTATTTGTACACCTGTGGAATCTTTGCAACCATTGCCCCAGTTACCTAGTGGCCTGGTTTTGTTTCCATTGCTTGGTTTACTGATGAGGTCTCCTACATCAAGAGCTAAACTAGACATTGTTTATTCTGAAGGAAATCTAGCACTTCACTTAATCTTGTCCTGTCCCCCAGCACTGCAGAGGCAGATGGGGTCCCGCATTCTTGATTTAGGAATAGAGAAACACCACAGACTGTGTATATCAGCCATAGATGGATTAACACATGGGCCAGCTAGGCCTGGGCCCAGGGACCTCTGCCTCAGTGCAGATTAAACTGGCAGCTGGGCCAGGCTGGGCCAGGTGTGCCTGATGCAGCGGGCCATGGCTGCTGGGTGCCATTTGCCAGGCACCTCTGCATCCAGACTGAGCTGTGGTGGGGCAAGGGGCTGTCCCCAGAGCTTGGTCCATGCCACACATGACCAGTGAGCAGTAGGTCTGCACCCCTGATGCCAGTTCCAGATCAGACCTGTGGGCAGGGGTGGCCGCAGCTTCTGCCCCAGGCCTGGGAGGCAGCATGTCCTGCTCTGGCTGCTGCTCCCGCTGCACCAGCTGGGGATGGAGCCTGCAGCTGCGGGGCAGAGAGCAGGTTGGGGGGCCCTGGGCTGTGGGGGAGGGGGTTCTAGTTTAGCAGCTGAGCTTTCAGGCAGAGACCTGGGGGATCCCTCCCCTTAGCTCTAGAGTGGATCAGGAGCCCCTCAGGGTGCACCGCTTCAGGGGAAGCTGACTATGGCATGTCCCTAGTGGAGCTGGGGTCCTGGGTGGCTTCTCCCCAGAGACCTCATACTGACTTGGGATGTCGAGGGGGAATGAAGGACTGAGGCCCCCTTGGAAGGGGTCAGCTTCCAAAGCTGTCCTTGGTAGGTTCCTTCCTCTTTACACCATCCTTTCTCCTTACACCCCTTCTCAGCTCAGGCTCCCAACCCCAACAGGGTAGGTCCTCAGCAGCCAGTGGGCCAGGGGCCAGTGACAGCAGTTGGCCCCCAGGCAGTCCTCGTCTCAGACGCATCAATCAAAGGCAGGTTCTTCCTCGGGATAAACTCCCTCAGCCTTGCACCCCTGGGGTATAGCAAGGGCAGGAGCAAGGAAGACCCATTCCAATCTGGGTAGTGCTTGGGGTTTATGAAATGTCTCCTCAGACTGCAGCAGGGGAAATCTAGGTTGGAGACAAGGAGGAACTTTCTGTCTGTGAGGGTGGTCAAGCACTGGACCAGGTTTCCTGGGGATGCTCTAAAATCTCCATCCTTGGAAGCTGTCAAGGGTAGGTTGAACAGGCATGGGCGTGGGATGGTTCAGTGAAGGGTGATCCTGCCTTGAGGGGGCTGGACCAGATGACCTCGGGAGGTCCCTTCCCACCTTCTTTTTCTTTGAGCCTGCTGGATTAGAAGGGTGCGCTGGAGAGGGGAAGGGCAGAGAAGGTGTTCTGCCGTGGTAATGTGGCTGGGCTGTCTCTGCCTGCCCTGGAGAGGTTTCCAGAGGGACAGATGAGAAGGGACTTGGCATGTCTCTAACTGGGAGCACCCCATGGCTTCCAACTCTGCCCCTGGAGTTCAGCAGAAGCAGGAGTGAGTGGCCTCAACAACCCCCCCCCATCCCCCTCACAGAGAATATCCCTTGAACTGAGTCATGATGGCTGCCCTTAGCTAGAACCAGAGCATGCAAATCCCCCACCAGGCTCATTCAACCTTCCCTCACACCCACCAGAAAAGCCAGATCTGCCACAACAGCCATCAAAAGCCAGATTTAAATAAGAAGTCAAGAGGCCCATTGATGTGTGAGGTGGGAGTCTGCTGTGCTGGCATCCAGCACAATGCTGGGCCTCAGAGATGTGCTGAGAGAGATCACCATGCATCACCTAGTATACAGGCAGCAGGCACACACAGCAAATTCTCACAGCCTCATAATGCAGGCAGTGCTTTTGCATCCTCCTGAATGTACCTGCACACGTGGGATCTTATACAGGGCATGCCCCAAACACCTGTGGGAATCACACGTGTCTAGGCATGGAAGAGAACCCTTCTCCAGAAGCACAGACAGAAAAAAAGGTTTAAGACTTTATTAAGGTATGTTAAAAACTACGGTCAGGTAGCTGGCCTGTATGCACAGACAGATCCAGACTGTCTATGGTACACACAGATCCATCTTCCAAGGGCACAAACACTTATGCAGCCTTATCCCCTGTATACACACGGACATACACACTGGCCCCATACACACATACACACTGGTGGAGAACCCCTCTTCAAGCACACACATACACAGAGAAGACTCGCGCATACATGGGGTGGAAGACACACATGCACACGTATTACTCATACGCTCACAGAAGGTTGGATACGCATTCATACGCAGACAGATGGGTTAGATATACAAGCATATACACAGTTTGCACACACATGCAGAAGACTGGATGTATACTCGCATATGCGAGTAGGTATGCAGAAGATCATTAATATACATGCAGAGGGTTGAATACATGTAGCACAGAGGGTTGGATGCAAATGGCACACAAGAGATTACGCACACAGAGGGTTGAATGCGCACACACACATGCAGGCCCCCACCAGCCCATACCTAGAGCTACAGAGACCCCCATGCACACACATTTGGGCCCATGCACCCAGGATGATGGATGCAAAGCAATGAGAATGTGTGCATGACTAAGGCACACTCAGGGCTGCCAGGGCAGCAGTCTGGGTGCTCAAGGCTGCAAAGAGTAAAAGGAGATGCTGAGGGGGAATCCTGCAGGCGGGGAAGAGGGGAAGGGGGGGTCATGGGGCAAAGAGAGAGGACTAATGATGAAAAAGTTTCCTCCATCCCTGCTCCTTAATTAAATGCATGGAAAGAACCAAGGGAAGCACATCTGGTTTCAATCTGAAGGCCTTTGATGGCATCAAATGTTCTTTTCCAAGATCAGGGGGCTGGAAATTCTGGTCTGTCTATGGCAGCTTGGACCCAGACTCCTGCCATTGAAACACATGGGCCCTGCTCTCTCCTGTTGAGACCAGCACTCAAGACTCACGCAACCCCGTGGGCTTCCCTGACAAACCACTCTGCGAGAGGAAAGCACGGCTTCTTTGCTTACTTTTGCCCTTTCTTGTTTAAAAAACGTTTTAAAGAGCTCCCTAATATTAAGCTCTTCATATTTTACCTGGTCTGATGGCGCTAATTCATGCCTTACGAGACCATTCAAACTGGTACAGAATAAATCTCATGTGATCAGTCAAAATTCACTGGTATTTAGATTCCCCAAATGTGTGCATGGCCCTTTTCTTTCTCTGTCTCATTCTATCTCTCTTTTCAACAAGCCTCTTGCAAAACCCTAGCTCCTGATGTACTGAATCAGATTTTTCCTATTGCCCATGTCCGAACTCCCCCTTGATTTCCAACAGAGATGATGGGTATCTCTCTCTCTCTTTTTTTTCTTTTGCTTAAACGCACAGTATGGAGGGCTGCAGGGGCTGAGTCCAAGGCAAAGCTTGCTGCCTCTAATGCTTCAAAGGTTTCTGACTCTGGCTGATTCCAGATCACCGAACCAAGCTGACATACCAATTTCCCAGTCCTTTTCTTCCCATCTTCTTGCGCTTCAGACTCCAAAAACAGTCCATAAGCTGCAGAGAGAGGGTTCCTACGACCCACCCCCCATACCTCTAGGTCTCCCCAACAGCTCTCCACGGGGTCCTCCCATCAGCTCCCATTTGCTGGATCTTTTCTTTAATAACAACACATTGTCTGGCACAAATATATTTTAAAAAACAATCTAACCCCTTGTTTGGGTTCGTTTTTCTCTCTCTCTTTAATCGCCTGAAGCCAAACTGTTGGAACAGCAGGAAACGTTAAAAAAAATTGGAGAAAACTTGATTGGACTGAACGGGCAGTATTTCCAAAAGGTTTTCCCTGCAGCTGGTATCAAAACATGCAAATGAGATTCTCCAACAGGCTTTTAAACAAACCGGGGGGAGTTCAATGTGAAGCCACATAAGCAGCCTGGTTGAAGTGACCGGGGGTTTCAAGGTTGACTTTTCTGCCCGCGATGCAGTGGCAAAGGGGAGGCAATGAGAACTGAGTCTTTATTTCAGAACAGCAAAGAGAGGGAGAGGGCGAGGGAGAGCCTAAGTCAGGTGGTGGCAAAGCGGGAGCGGGCTCGGCGTGTTTTTGGTGGTGGGGGGAAGGGGGAGGAGGACGAGAGCTTGCGAGGGGGAAGAGGGGTCTGTAAAACGTCAGGAACAGCACAAAGCCTTTGCCACGTAATTACAGGCTCCTATTAAGTCTCGATCTGCCCTCCCAGGGGTGTCCAATTTTCATGTAGACCCTACAAAGGCTCCCTGCATGCCAGCCTGTGCCTTTTGAAGTGCCAGAGAGCGGCTCGATCCAGCGGAGAAAGGGGGAGGGGAGTGGACAGCAGCTGAGAGGGAGGGAAGGGGAAAGAGAGAGGAAGAGAGGGGGGGAAAAACCCCTCCGCAAAACCAAACGCCAGCCTCCTGTCGGATCGGACTCGTGGAGAAAGCTTCCCTTTGCCTTCAGCGAGGATCCGGCCGGCGAGTACATCTGCAAGACATCAGCACCCTCCCACCGCCTCCCTCACTCCTGAGACTCACCAGGAGCGCGGCGCGGGGGGAAGCCCCTTCCCTTGAAGATGTTTTAAAGC